GTATGTTTAACGGACGTTAAACACACAAGTATACAATATGCCCAGATATCCCTTTTTATAAGTTTTATATGGGTACCGTAGAGAAAATGAAAGTAAAAGTAATTTAATTACAAAACTCTTGGGTAATTTATGACTGATATTATTCAAATAATAAAATGGAACTATGGGGTTTTTACGGACACTTGTTTCGGAAATTTTACTATTTAGACCGTATATGCAACACAAGTGGCAGCGGAGAAAGGATACTTTCTACCAGATTTTTAGATTCTGTCTATAGACCGCATCATAGACAATCCCAACGGAATTTTAAACTCATAAAATTTTTAACGCATGTCGGGATATTATGATGATGATTTCAGCCAAAACAGAACGAGCCAAATTAGCTCATAAATCACAGATTTTATGAAAATATTTTTTTTTTTGTAATTATAGTGACCACTTAATAACACTTAGATATTGTCAACGATATCTAGTACGTTATATTGAAATCTTTGCAATTCGCATACAATTATTGTGTGTAGGTACTAAAAAATGTCTCCGACATTTCAAATTCGGCGGCTGATCTTTTAGCAGATCACGATCATTTTGATTCTTCTTTTGATGTGACAAACTCTGTCCACAGAAGGGGAGTATTCAAAGGTAACTCTGATTTCATATTTCGAAAAAGCTTTTTAACAACCAATCGCTTTCAACTCATTCCAAGTCTACAGTCGACATAGACATTCGTAAACTGCGTGAGTTTCGGCAATTCATTTGTGATTTACTGTCAGGGGTGTCACTGGGCCGGGGCGGGGGCAAATAAATCATAACGCTTTATATTTAACTGCGCCTCTAGAACTTGGCCGTGCCCAGGCTTCTTTATATGTATCTACGCGATGGTAAAGGACCTTCGAAGTGAACATAAACGAGGTATAGCGCACACTTATCTCAAGCCCATATAGCTGCTCTGCCGCAATATATACAAAAGATTTATTCCACGTAAAAAGTTGAGTGACGACGAGCTTGTTTGTCTTTTATACGTAACAACTTTTACTTCTGAAAGCCGCTTCATACAAACATACGTATAGATACAATCGTGACACGAATGTCATGAAAATTACATAACATTTTTCTTCTTTGCTTAGTATAAAATTCAACGTCTCTAGGGAAAGCACATTTCCCTTGCAATGATAAAGTACGAGCGGCTGGCTCTTGTTGTCCTTACTTTGTGGCGGAATATAGAGGTGGGTATATGTACTAGGACCCATATTAGTTATTTCAATAGAGCCATATAAAGTGATAATTTTATAGCAACTAACGCATACATTGTATGTATGTGGTATATAGCGCATGCTGATATCCATACGGAATTCAATAGTGCTGAGGGTATTCCAATGACCTAGATTACAACAAACAACATTATGTTATAATAAATGCTAAGTATATTAAACAGTTCTATAACTTCCACAATTAAGTACTAAATAATGTTCGTAACATTTTAATACATTTATCACGCTTTGTATTGTGACCTTGTTTATAATATTATGATGGTTGTAAAAGTAGGCTAGTTTGTTCAGATTTTTAGATTAATTGTGGGTCGTAAAGCTTATCATGACAATAAAGTAAGGATAGGCTTGATGCTTTTAAAGCAAGTTAACAGCAGGCTAACTACATTGAGCAAAAGATATCCTGATGTTCCTTGTGCATCCTTTCTAGGTAAAGGTTGCCACTTAGGCCACTGTTTCTAGTAATTACCTGGCAAACTTTTGACAATGTCACCGTTTAAACTAACAAATTCACTGCCTAAAATTTGACAGATTAATTATAATTAGCTGTACCGAGCTAAAAACACAAAAAAATCAATACCACAGGGCAACCTTTGGCCTTAGGTAGTTTTCCCGTTGTAAGCGAGTCTCTGTACCTATGGTGAATAATATCTAAGGATTAAGAATGATTAAATCGCACCCCTGGTAGATGAATGGCACAAGTGAAGTTACGTCAAAAATGTTTATTGCTCTATTAGATATTGTCGATAGAGTTATAATAATGAGAGAGGATGTGAGTTATATTTTTCTGCATCTAATGGCGCTATACACATTTTTGAATTAACTTCACTTATGCCATTCTTCCATGAGGGGTGCGAATAATGATGGGCACATCTTAGTTCTGCATCTTGGCCTGTTAATGCCAATAGTTTTTTTATATACACTCTTAACATCTCGGGTTATAATAGGGCTAGAATTGTAAAATCATTACGTGTTATAGACTTGATAACATGTAGTTAATGACAACAGTTCTAACATAAATATAATAAATAGTTTAATATTTATGTTAGAACTGTTGTCATGGCTAGAAACAACAACAAAAATAAGTTTTTATATACAGAGCTGGAATCCTGAAATTAATCTAGGTACGTTCGTAAGAACGAACTTTTATGAAAACATTTATATTTTGATGACCTTCGCATTCGAGTGAATTGCATACCAGGTTCCATCCATCCCCGGCCTGGTCAATGTAGAAAACTAACTCTAACTCGAGACAACATTTGCTCGAGTTTGAGTGGTTTTGGTATTGTCGTTGTTTCCGATATCCATAACACAAGTGCTTTAGTTACATACTTTAGGGTCAGTGGAGCGTATATGATATTGTCAAATACTTCTTTATTTATTTTCAATAAATATCTTTAAAAAATTAAATGCGTATACATTGTGAATATCGGTTTAAGTTGACTCATATCTCTATTGTCTTATTCTTTTGTTTGCCTACATTTGAATTATTATTTGAAGGTGGCCAGTGATTAGACATATATATACAATAAGATAAAGCGTACACCGTTAATCTAGTTCGTATGTTTTGTTATGAAATTGTGAAGGTTTCACTTATCATACTTGTGGCCCCTAAATCAAAAGGGAAATTAGTTCATGAATAAAATATCATTGCCAGTGCAGGTCACTCCATGTGCACGGTCGAGGGGAAAATGCGAAAATAGCCCTCACCCGGCGGCCATCTTGTGACGTCATGAAACTTAACAAGGGACGTATTAAGATATTTTTAAGTTGACACAGAGGCTGTCTATATCAGTGTATATCAGTGTTATTGATTGAGTGATAATTACTGTGTATATTAAAAACTTATGTCCAATAAGCATCATGTTATAAATCACCTCGATATTAAGACATAATGCAGAGAGATCGATAAACAGTCATTTATTGATTACTTTCTTTTAAACAAATAATTTTTGATTTACACATTATTTGATACTAATACATGTTAATAAAATGAGGCCCCCAAATTTAATTTAATATTGAATGTCGTATGTAATGCCCTCACGTTGGCCCTGATTTGGATAAATTCATTCAACAACACTTTGCAAACTTTCCAATTATACTTGAAATTTTAAAAACGTCAGCAATCCTTGCTTATAAACGTCAACAATGAGACTGGCGTAACAGAAGCTATTTCTGTAAATAAAAGCTATACAATTTAAAAATGTAACTTCAAACAAAAAAGTGGAAAAGAAGTGGCGCAATTGTTTCCAAAAATAAAAATATACGTCACTCAATACGTCCCAGAGTATGCTTCAAAGATAACGGTGGGCTGTGATTGGTTGGTACGGAACGGTAGGCGTGTTCGTTATGGGCACCACCCCTCTCAGCTAGGAGTCCCGGTGAGCAAGCCACCAAACCACATCGGGCGCTTGCCGGTGGCGCCACGCGTTCATGAATTCACCCGATATAGTATAACCTCAAATGAACACGTGAACATCTAAAAATTAAAGAACCGGTTCTGCATAAAAACTTCAAGTGACAATGAGTGCAAAATTAGCAGGGACATGACTGAAATTACAGATATGAGTGCGAAAAATAGTGTTTTAGGATAGAATAATGAAGATTTTAATCGGATTTTTGAAATAAACTTGGTTAAAACTGAAATTGTATGAAGTGCTGAACGTATTCTTGGTGTGGAAGGTAAAGTGGTCTGAACAAAACATTGTGTTATCTATCGGCTGAAAAACGTGATCTCTGGGCCTGTTAGTTTACACATATTCTGAAGAATAGAAGCGAAGTGTGCACAACAAACTGCGTTATCAGAGCCTGGTGATAACCAAAATTAGCAGGCAAGCTGAAGTGATTATCTTAGACTATTTCTTGTAACCAATTTAATTTTATTAAAAAGCCGCTCGCAAATAATTTGGAAATTTTAATTACAATCTCAGAGCTATACCAATTCTTCCAAAAAGATTCCTAATTATAGAAAATACAGCCACCCTAATTCAAATTTCTTCCATAAAGCCAATTATAAGACAATTTTGTTTCGTGTTGTTAAATATTTTGCAAACTTTGCGGCTCATTGAATTTCGGTACTTTTGTCTTCTCAACATTAATATTAATGGTAAAATCATATTCTATATAAAATAATAATACTCTCAGTGAGAAAATCTGAAATTGAGTCATTTATACTAAATGAAACAAAAGATTCTCAGTGGCCTTCACCGCCGGATGGTTTGATTGGTAATTGTTAATAAATTTTCCAAGATCCTTAGTGAGTATCGAGGCCATTGTCGAGCTGAGTTTCCAAACGTATAATCAAGGATTATTCAAGTACAAGGAAGAAGACGTCATGAAATATTCATAGTTCAATTATTCACTGAAAATTCAACGCAAGATTGTTTACCACAGAACGTTTTTTCATATACATGACTTCTTCTAGTAACTACTAGAACAAATCGCAAAATTTAAATTAATCTTTTTATAGAATTTCTCAGGACGATTTAAAAGTATAAAAAAAAAACAAGATTATTAATTATTTAGAACGTCCTCATAGAAAATAAAAGAAAAAATCAAACCAGAAGTCAAAGGCACTTCTGCTCACAGAAGACTCCTCAAGTATCAAATTAGCAAATGTGTAAATAGACAAAGGACTCAATCCAAACTCAACGCGATCGGTAGACATTTTTCGGCAAAATACTTTGAAAACTGAACGCTGTGTCAGCAAGGGTTAGAAGGCATAGAGATTACGCCGAGTACGTCATCCGTCGCCAAGATAGGCACAGAGCCGAAGCTGCAGCTGTGCGGAGGCTGGGGCGGGCAGGGTGGCTACGCGTTGGAAGGATGCGTGGACGCGAGCCTGCTCCGGCCGCCGCCGCAGCCGCACTCCAGCCAGCTCGGGACCGTCTACGCCACAAAAAGGAGGAGGAGAAATGGGAAAAGGTAAGAGCTTTTTTTGATTAATCACTGTCGACGTTTTTTACGGACTCGACACGACTTTGAGTTTTCGTAATTTTTAATAATGACGGCGTCACTATTAAGTAATTAGCACTCCTCCTCCTCCTCGTCTTTATTCCCTCCATTATTTATCATATGTCAAAAAGTTATTTGGTAAAATCGTAGTAAGCAACTCCGAACGCTTTTACTTCTATTGTTACCTGCACTTTAGGGGCTTCCTGGTTTGTATGATTTTCTTGTTCTCCATTCTAAAATTTTTTATGGACGATGAAGATATCCTTCATCAAGGTTATTCATAGCTGTAATTTGTTTATAATACTTGAAAATGCTGTACTGTACTCCACATACAATAATCAGCACAGCGGTGTATAGTCGTTTTCCGACGGCTACATAGTTTTATAAAATAAATGTGTTTAAACCATATAGAATTCGCCTTTCGTGGTTATGTACTGTAATATTTTTACTAGTAACAATTTACAATACTAGAAAAATTAAATAATAAAAGTCATAAACAAGAAATAAATTTGTAACATCTACTTATATTAATATCTTTTTAAATTTCACTATTACTGTTTTAGACGCCGCTATCAAATATCCATACTGCTCAAAGTATTTTTAAAGTACTTTCGTATTAACATAATTAAACCTCATTCGATAACATATTTATAAAATAATGAAATAGTTTTTGTTCCTTACAGGATATAGATACCAAACGCACAATAAAAAGGTCATGAAATGTAACAAATTGATTTACAACAATTACGAAAATATCTTATAATACAAATATTTTTCAGCTATTAAAACCTTTGTTACGGAAATTTAGTTCTTGTGTATATAGATACATGATTTAGCCGGTACCGAACAATATCCGCTTTAAAATTGTTTGTCATTGTATATACATTAAGCGTTGCTGGATGAGACTTCCAATTTACAATAATCGCATTCGGAAAATTATTGTACGGTAATCATACAAAAAAACCATAAAATTTCAAATAGCTCAGCCGCGCTTTAGATTTCATGATTATTTTTTCCGACGGCAGGTTTACAATTCGTCGATCTTCGTAACGGTTTCCAAATGGATTAACTACATTTTAGTTGCGAACTATTAATAATATAAGCAAGTCGATATTTTATAAAATTTTATAGAATATCTATTATAAAATTATATCAAGTATGGAATATTGTATTTATAGCACTCATCCTAAAATGGAGATGTATATGTACTTTGTTTTGATCGTGAGACGCAACGGAACGACTTTGCCCTGTCCTAATATAATTTACTTACTTCTGAATTTGAATAATTATTTACTTTTGCTGTTTGTCACATCAGGAAGCTCCAATACCACTAGCTAACAATAATATAGTCAGTTAAATATAATTTAATTGTAAATAAAATATAATCTTTAATGAGATTATCAATGTTTGCCCCTTCACATAAAGTTTTATAACCATAAATATTAGCTAAGTTAAATTACTAATCCCATAATAATGTTCTCTAACATAATTAAGGATATTTTTGTTAAAGATTATTTTCGATTGCAAGTTATCGTTACTATGAAATTAATATGAAGTTCTCGTTAATATGAAAACGACATAAAAAAAAATATTGTGAAACTAATGCTGTTACCTAGGAAATAATCACTATAATACAACATATCCAGCTAATTTCTATATCCATAAAACTGAGAGCGTTCCGAATGGTGCGTTCAACAATTAGTTGCGGCCTATTATATTGATTCGATTACTAATTTATGGGGTGAATAATGGCTGTTGTATCGATACAGTTGAATCGATTCTCGCCGTGAATTTGTGACCGTGCAGCGCTGATTGATAATCGACTAACGGATTGATATGGGGCAAATTTCTATCTTTTAAAGCCATAATTTTCTGCTTCTAATTTTAATTGATGCTTGCACTCGTTACGCGGACGGTTTATTTTCGTTTAATTGAAAAGGTTTTCCTTATTTAATATTTCACTGCTAGTTTCGCAATTACCGAAACATCCTAAAATTATGTATTCTCATTTTTCAAAATAAATTTAGTACGTTATATATCCCGTATGAATTAAAATTACATACATTGTTTCCAAATTCTCTGTAAATACAATTTTTTTTAAGTTATCAAGTATGTGTGTAAGAGGCATGAAAACTGTGTAATTTATTTATCCAGTGACCATAAGACACATTAATTATGTATCTCTAATTTCATGTGCTTAGGTAGATATTTCTATTTCAACTGGCGTGTTGTATGAACTAGAAAATGTTGATATAAAAAATAACTCATACTTAATGCAAAATATAGAAATTATATACGTATCATAATTATATGGTTAAAAAGATTCTTGACCTTATGTCGCCTTGGCTCTGTATTGCTTTGCTTTTATTATATCGAAATAATTGCAATAAACCCGAATATTTTAATCTTTTAACTTACGATGATTATTAAGATTTACTTAATTCAATTCAAAGTATTTATTTCAGATAAAGGCCATAATAATCTTAGTAAAAATTAAGTTATGAGCTAGTATTGACATTATTCTTTCCATACGGCTAATATATAATTGAGTAATATTTTTTTAATTAAAAATAACTAACTGTTCTCACAGTCGGCAATGTATACGCTTTTTTAATAAGAGTCCTATTCATATTCAAAATTGGCATATCCTTATAGCAAAATTAGCTAAAATTCACGAGTTTTAAAACTATAGTGAAGTACCTACTTGGATAACAAAAGAGCCGTGGTTTCCCGTTTAGTTTTTGCAGGTAGTTTCGATTTATGATGTTTGAAATCAATATTATAAGTAATATATATGCACAAAAATGTTTATTTACAAAGTGCAACCCCTAGTTTCTTGGTCATTCTTCTCAGGAGAATCTGCTTTACAAACGAGGAATAAAAGTTTAATCAATATGACGATTTCAAGTGTAATTTGTCTACCTATGAAATAAGAATATTTTACTTTTAAATTGCTTTATGAAGCTCTTCGCAGGAGTAGCGAGTCTGTCTGAGAAAGCAGGAGGATTTTGGAGCTCTCTCGGAGGCCTTCCAGCGCAGATGCACACCCTTTCCTCACGATGGTCATGAAACTACCTCTCCGAACCTTAGTAGACTTCCCCGTTGCACTACATCGGAATGCGTTATTACATTAGACATGTAGATCGTTGGATGACCGCCGCAAATACCACAACTATAGACTGCACTTGACAGCACACAAAAATAGTATTATTGCCTGTTTTGTACAAGCATATTACACCGAACAGCCAGCAACTCACTCTCTCATTGTGCTTGCAATTGTCCTGGGAGATCTTCGGTGACCCAATGACTTTAATATTTAAATGTACACACGTAAGATATCTGTGTATAGTTCATAGAAGAGCGATTGAAATGGTATATATGTACTAGTCCTATGAGAAAAAATTAAGAAAAAAGAAGAACTCTATAGTATCTCAGTAGGTACTCGACCATGAGTTCACATAAAATTTATAGCTAGCGGCTGTGTAAAACATTTATTACATAATATTACTTCTTCTTTTGACTTTTCGGTAACCATGTAAACAGTAACAAACGTCACTGTAATATGACAATACCATTAATATTTGTATTTTTTATTGCTAAAATGGCAACTATCTTCTATAGTGATGTAGGCACGGTGTAATTAACTTGTAATTGGTAGTAGGTAGGTAAATCGCGTAATATCTACAGTTATCACCACAACTTTATGAAAACGTAATGTATTCCATATAAATGTCACAATAAATTATATTTCTTTCTTCTAGAATGATTAAAAAATTAAAACCTAATTAGAGACTTTTATTTTTACGATTTACGCAATGCACGCTTACATTAGAATAAAAAAAAATAGAAATGAGGACGTAGAGTAGAGATAAACGGAGGACGCATGGTATATGTCTATGAATACTCTTTCCAGGTATGGCAAGAGAAAGAGGTCGAAAGACGAACCGAAAAAGCCTGGAGAAGCCAATAGGCCTTGAAATAATACCTAGTGAAGGGTGACATACCGATGTCACTTAAATGTAGGCTCATGGAAATGTGTATACCTCCAGATCTAACCTATGGTGTTCAAATTTGCCTTTAACAGAAGCTCAGGAGTTAAAACACGAAGATTCCCAACGAGCTATGGAGTGCAGCATACTAGTATGAAACTAATAGATCGTGTCCGGAACACCACCCTGCGCTCACAAGCAAAAATTATCGATGATGCTCGGAAGGCGGTCAAGTAGAAGTGGTACCTACTAGGCTGGTCGCATCTGCTCTGAGCGAGTTTTGGGCCAAAATAACCACGGAGTGGAAACCCCACAACTGAAAAAGGAGGCGCGGTAGACCATATCGGCGATAACGGGATAATTTGGCCTAATTATGAATACAAAGATAAGACGAACTATTAGAAAAAAATCCTTCGATCCAGCCGGATTTGAAGCGACATCTTCTACTAAGTCACGGAACGAACCAGAGGACCTCTCGAATTTTCCTATGTGCTTGTTTATCGGATCTTTGTATTTGATTTTCAACGACTTTTTAGCCGTAGCGCCATCTCTGAGAAATCTATGAAAGTATTTCGTCACCCTGTAAGGTAACTTTACAGCTACCAACCCTGGCTAGAGATGTCGCTATTAACTTTAACTAAATGTATATTGAATTTCCTTTAGAACTGGCCAAATGTTGCCCAAAACCGGGCTCAATGGAAAAATGGGGGAGGCATTTGTCCAGCAGTGGGAAGGATAGGCCCCTAAAATAATATAAATATAAAACACTAACAAACAAATACCAATATAAAAAGGACACTTATCGACGACGGCTACGTACAACTTACGGTGGGCCACACCTTAAGTCCCAGTCGAGCAGTGACACTTTATATTACTTCACCTGGTTGCTGAGTGCGCATCGTAAGGCTAACAATGTATAAACGATCACAAATTCAACTTAATACATTTTAACTGCAATGTTTAATGATTCGCCATACATAA